TGTGGTATACTTTGATTATCCAATAATATTACTCTAATTTTAGGATATGCATTTTCAATATATATGTGTACTTACTTATATACCCCTCGTTATTTATGAGAACATACATAACGGTTATCCCGTTGGAATGCCTCTTTTTCTTTACTATCAAATCTATTACTTTTCAAAAACTAACCCCACTTTCTTTCATTTATAATATTTTAATATTTCAAATCCTCCAATTACCCCATTCACTAATTATCTTTAAGCTAATTAAATTTCCTAAAATTATATACCAGTCAAAGTGTAACACAAAAAAATCGAAAGGATTATACTAAATAATAAGACTGATAATGAAACGATTACACCAACTTTCCTCAAAAAAAAATCTTGCACGATTTAGAAAGTAATTAAGATGTCAACTCCATTCCTTATTTTTCTAAGCCAAAAACTAACGAACATAAAATAACTAAAAGTTGAAATATTAAATTATAATAAACATTGATTACAATGACGCGTTATTTTGGTATACATTCCTAAATTATAACACTTTAGGAAATAGTTTAAATGTTTATCTAACAATCTGGGAGCCTTCGTTAGCAAGATCCTTTTTATAACACACCACCGAGGCCTTTCACGGGTATAGAGGTTTGTTTGCTTGCTAAAGACTGATAATTGTCTTTAATCAATTTAGATTTGCATGCTATACTTTCTCCATTTTGACTACATAAATCTTACCGAATATGACATTTTCATATTAGGAATGACAATCAAGTAAATAAAGACGAAGGAAGTATTATATAGGCATTTTCATAAGAAATTGGAGCAAATGTGTTTACTGCAAATCAATGGAAAAACTAGAGCATACATACACTTATATGTTTCATTTTTTCATCTAATCGATTTTGCCACATTTACAAGTTTTTTTTCTTTTTTTTTTCGCTAAAAATCAAGCCAAACAAACAACAAACTGACAAACACAGAAATTAAAAAGACAACTAAGGAACTAACGATGGCGAGCACACCCAGCTAACAAGTGCGCAGGAACAACCCAATCTCAGGGAACCTTGAGAATTCGACAAGCCAAAAATTGAGGAAGGATCTCCTGAATTGCTTGAAAAAGGCAAGTATAGGAAATATCCGGCGATCTGGGAGCTCGAAACAAGGCGTCTAAAACAGTGCAATCTGTATAGATGAGAAGGTGAAGATAGCCTCTACGAAAAGCAACTTGGAGAGCCCACAAACAAGCATGAATTTCCGCTTGAAGGGCAGACACTGCTCTCCCCTTTGAGTGAATTTCCTGAAAAGCCAACCTGCCCCTACACTGTTATCTTGACAGTTCCAAGACCATAAAAGATTAGACAATGGTCGAGAAGATCTGAAGAACCCCCACGCAGACACCAAGGCGTAGAATCCTGTTAGGATGCAGTCCTAGGCCTGCACGTATAGGAGAGAATTTTCTGAACTTCCTGGGCCTAGCCCGAGCAACCCTATCCTCTGAAATCCTGAAAATCATAGAAGGAGACCAAACTGCCTGACGAAAGATACAGTTATTACACTTAATCCAAATAACCCAAAGGAAAGAAACCAAAAACACAAGGCCATCGAAATTCTTGGACGGGAGGAATTCTGAAACCAAATCCGTAAACCATAGGTGAAAAAGTTTAACTCGTAAGAGAGCTCTATCCAGTGCCAAAGGGCTCCTTTCCCACAACAGACATGTAAAAGGACAGTCATGAAAGAGATGAGCAACCATCTCGAACTTACAGTGACAGAAGATACACACCGGATTAACTAGAAGACCTTTCGAACACAAACCCGCCAACAAGGGTAAAGCCTCGTGAAGCAGCTTCCAAGCGAACATCTTGAACCATGGAAGGAGAGGTTAACCCTAGAAACGCTTCCACCACAACGCGAGAGCCGGGTTACTAACAACCGAACCATGGATTGTCGAACAAGCAAGGAATAGGCGGATTTAGTGGAAAACCGACCATCCGAAGTAAACTTCCAGTACACAAAGTCATCCATCAGACACTGTGGTCGCTCCATTGCAAGAATGCGCTGCGCAGTATGATTATCAAAAAGCTGATGGATCTATGAGGAGTCCCATGCGCCAGAACGCGGAATAATAAGAGAAGAAACATGAGTCGAAACCTCTGACTCAAACACAGAAGGTTTGAAATGTACCGAACCCCCAAAAGCCCAATCGTCCTCGAGAATGCGAACTTGCGAGCCTGTACCCACTTTCCAAGCCAGACCCTTAGCCAAAATCGATTGCCCATCGAGCAACCCCCGACAACCCCAGGAATCCTGAAGTCCTAACTTAACCAAGAGAACCTAAAGATGTTGGAAGATTTAGAGTGTTGATGGTTGCGCGCTCGCGAACTATGAGTAGCGCCCGCGCTGAGGTCGCGCCTAAACCGCGGACCTCACTGGAATCTGAAGGTTTGGAAGAAGAAAGTTGGCGCGCCCGCGCGTCCAAGTGGCGCGCCCGCGCGTCCAAGTGGCGCGCCCGCGCTTGGGTCGCGCCTAAACCGCGACCCTCTCTGACTTTCTGTATGAAAATTCGCAGGTTTTGGGAGGAGCGTCCTCTCCCAATATAGGAGCGCCCGCTCCTCCTGGTTGGCGCGCCCGCGCTCGGGTCGCGCCTAAACCGCGCCCCCTTCTGCCTCCCTTGGTGAATTTCGGAAGTTCAGGAGAGGAGCGCCCGCTCCTTGTTAGGAGCGCCCGCTCCACTGGAGAGGAGCGCCCGCTCCTCATTAGGAGCGCCCGCTCCTTATTAGGAGCGCTCGCTCCACTCTGAGGCGCGCTCGCGCCTTCCAGTTTTTCGCGAAATTCTGACGGTTAAGTCTTTAATAAAAGGCTTGGTTTTCTAGATTTCGAATATAGAGAAATAACTCTGATCTTCTCTCCAAAAGTATTCTCTACATTTTCTCTCAAAAACTTTGCAAACTTTTGTTAGAAAACTCTTGCAATCATTCTAAATTGTGTGAATTTATCATCTTTACTTCGATTCCAGTACTAAGAACGAAGTGGCTGTCAATTGTATCTCAAAGAAGATTTCCGGTTTAAACCCAAGTACCGTGTGGGGGAATTAAACTTCTTTAGGAAAGTATTCATACGCCTTTGACAGTGTATCAAGGTCATAGTCTCAAGGGGCATTGCAATTCTCATGTTCATGTGTGCTTTGATTGGCTTGGAGTAGAGGCAAGTTACATATTCTTCACATTAGTGTTTTGTTTAGAAATTTCTGTAATTTCTTAAACTTATTAATACTTGATTGTAACACCTTAGTTGTGTTTGTTGTAATTACTTTACTTTGTTATTGTAATCACATTATTTAGGTTTTGTCCCACATAAGTTTTAAGTGCATTTCTAGTTTGAATTCACTGAAAACCTAACAAAAGAAGGATATTTCGCGGCCAACAGCTTAGAGACAAGGAGCTGAGGATGACGATGAATACGCCAACATTGTTGAGCGAGTAAGGCTGTGTTGAAATGTTCAATACTACGAAGACCCAAACCACCCAAACCTTTGGGAAGATGCAACAAGGAAGCAGACTAGAGAGCCATCCCCCTTGAAGAAAAGAAGAAGAAGAAGAAGAAGAAGAAGAAGAAGAAGAAGAAGAAGAAGAAGAAGAAGAAGAAGAAGAAGAAGAAGAAGAACGCCACCAAAATCGAGCAAGCATGACATCTATATGATGACAAATCGAAGCAGGAATCTAGAAGACGGACAACACATGATTGAAAGAGGCCACAATTAATAATTACCAACTTAGCTGCTGTTGAAAGCTTGAGAGAGGTGAACTGAGAGAGGCGAGAAGCAACTTTATCAATCAAATATCGAAACTCCAAGACTTTACTTCTGCCTAAGTCAACCGGAAGACCGAGAGACGATCTATGGTGAAGGCTCAAACTGTAGCAAGATAATCCCTATAATCAGGGGGAGTATTAGGGCTAAACACAAATGATTTTTGACGATTAATCATTTGTCCTGACACCTCACAGAACTGTTGAATGGCAGCCAGCATATGGTCATAAGAAGCAGGAGACACTTGGAAGAATAGAAGTGATTCATCGATAAAATACAAATGTGAAATAGAAGGAGCTCCGCGAGAGATACGAATGCCCTGAATCTGAGAATGTTTTTCCGCTTAACGCAATAAGGCGCAGAAAACCTCCATACATAGAACAAAAAGATAAGAAGAGAGAGGGTCTCCTTAACGAAGACCACAATGAGGTTGAAAAGCGGGCAAAGGATTGCCATTGACCAAGACCTGGTAAGAGACGGTAGAAATGCACTGGTGAATGATATAAATCAAATACGGGGGGAAACCAAAGGCCTGAAGCGTACGCAACAGAAAACTCCAGCTGATTCTATCATAAGCCTTATTCATATCTAGCTTGAGAGCAGCACAAAATCGCTTACGAGCCTTAGAAGCGTTCACGTATGATAGGAGCTCGTGTGCAATTAACCCATTATCAGATAAAAACCGTCCAAGAACAAAAGCTTTCTGATAATCTGACACTAATGACGGTAAGACAAGCCGAAGACGACCCGTAAGGCATTTAGCAATGCATTTATAAAGCACATTGCACAGGCCAATAGGGCGGAATTGAGAGACCAGCTCGGGACAATCCACCTTTGGAACTAGGACTAGAACGGTCCAATTCCAGTCTTATAACATATAACCATGGGCAAAGAAATAATGAACAGCAAAAACCACGAAAGGGCCAACAATGTGCCAATGAGTCTTGAAGTAATGAGTTGCTAATGATGAGCCGAAGAGAGTGATGGCAAACCCAGTGATCCCACCAGGAAGAATCGGGAACCGTAGATGACTGAGAGGGATTGTATTAGTCTTTGTAAAAGGAGAAAATCAGAGACCGAACCCCACCGGATCAGAAATCCACAGCTCCAAGTTGAACTGCAATATTTAAAAATTCTCATAAGTTGCCCCTGCTTGTGCAACGATTCAATAACGCAGCATAACCCCCCAAGAAAACTACATCACTTGGGGTTTCCACTAGTATTTTTAACAAATATGTACTACGTATAACTATTGAGGATACACTACAAATCATTGATCAAGATAAAGTGATCTTCAAAACCCAAATATGGAGTGTATTCATCCAGTAATCAACGGTGTTACAACACAAAGTGTGATTGACAAGCCTTACTAAAAAATAATAATGATAATAATTATATGCATGATTTTTCACCACCTCCTACGCCTTCTGCCATACCAGTAAGCAAAGCCAGCCACTGATGCAGCAAATATAACCCCAGCAGTTGCATGCCAAACATGTAGTGGTTTTTGGACTATATCAGTGGAATTTTTAACACCAACAATTGGGGATGACGGCAGCGACTTCTGGCAAATTTCAACAGAGAAGCTCAAACCTTTGTTTTCAAGGTCAGTTAAGTTTTCAACTGAAGGTTTAAGCCTGGTGGCCTTGGCCAGGGCCTCATATTCTTCTTTGTTTCCACCTTCAAGGAAAGACCCAACAAGCAGGCCATCTTTTACCCAATAGGCTCCAAAGCTCTTCCCTGAATAATCACCAAAATGAACTATCTCTCCTGCATTATCCCCATAGAACTGCCAAGATAGACCAAAGACTCTAGAATAAAAGAATGGAAGATAGTCAAAGTCATCGGTTTTCTCAGGTTCCACTATTGCATTGACTGCATGTCTAGCTGTCCTCCTTGCAGAATCTACATGTTCAAGGCGACGAATTTCACCAAACAATTTGACTGGGAATGCCGCCACATCTCCAACTGCATAAACTGAGCTATTGCTAGCTTGCATTTTCCCGTTGACCTTGATACCACCCTTCTCTATAGAGAGTTGGCCTTCAAACAAACTAGTATTTGGGCGGATTCCAATTCCCACGACAACCAAGTCAGCAGGTACACGAGTACCATCCTTGAGATTGACAGCTGTAACCTGTATATTATAAAATGTGATAACAAACACATTCAGAAGCTTTCTAGTGACTTTAGTAAATCATGAGATCTAAATTCTGTTACACAAAAATGGTGCACAGGTTAACAAATATGTGAACCTCCAATATTTACCTTTCCACTGGAATCAAACTCAAAAGACGTCAAGACTGTCCCTTTCACAAATTTGACTCCTTTGCCCTTGTAATAGTCCTCATAATAATCTGCAATCTTGGTTGTGAACAAGCGTGGCACTGGAAAAATGAAATACACATTGCATGAAATTCCCAGATAATAAAGCTTTGGTCAGACAATAAAATGGGAACAAGAAATTGTAAACCGTCATACTAATCATAAGAAGTAAGCAAAGAACCAGATAGCCAATACTTTTCCAGAAATACAACTCCCAATCAAGCTGATCATATAGGTTTTGGCAGTACTCAAGAACAAAGATTAGCTGTATCAATGCCAAAATTTCCATTTTCTTGTCTTTTGTATTTATAAACCCTTTTTTACATCAAAAATCACGATATGATGATTATGGATTTCTTGACACAATTTTACAAGGAACGCAGCATGGACATTTTTTCAAAACACAACAGATGGATTTGCATGAAGATGAGGCATTGGATCGTAAGGGATGGAAATAGAAGATTTTTGTCGATGACTACATGGAATAATCACTTTTGATTCATGTACCCAACCCCACTTACGGTTTTAACAAGCCTCGACTAGGTTTAGGTTCAGCAGTTTTATGGTCAGCTATATTATGTTGGTCAGCTATATTATGTCAATGTATCCAACTTTTGTAGATGCTTGTAAGTTACATGTTTTCAGCATCAATTTAATTTAAAGAAGCAGCACAAGTCAATATTTTTCTCTTTGTGTTGGCAGATTTTGATACGTCATCGTTTTGATAAAAATCCAGAAGATTATTAATTTACAATATCAAGCACTAAAATTCAGTCCAAAATTTTGCAGAAAATGCAAGCATTGATGTGAATCTTACTGTAGACACCAATATTTTCCACACATATTTTAGTATCTTTGGAGCCATAATTCCAAATTAATATGGTTCATTACTATATTGACTATGATTATATAAGAAGTAGTTATGCAACTATACTTACTGCAGTGGTCCTCAGGAAAGACCATGGTTACGTTGATCTTGTTAATGACCAGAGATGCAGCACATTCCATTCCTATATAGCCACCGCCGATTACAACAGCATTTCCACCAACACAAGATTGCATCACATTAACAAGCTTACTCGCATCAGCAAGATCACGCAAATAACACACGTTTTCAGCTTCCAATACATTCACCCCAAATTCTTCAAGCTTCAAAGCCTAAAAGTTGTACAGAAAAATATAATTGAGCCCATGCACTAGATTGTTTCAGGAAATACACTTACTGTCACTATAACTATATAGATGCCATTCAACCAGCTTGTAACAGTGAACCTTAAAGCTTTTTGGTGATTCAGGCTCAAGCTTTTACAAAAGTCAAGCCCCTTTTATGTTATTTGGTAAATTAGTTTGTCAATTTCCAACGTAACGAAATTAGTGGTGTGGTGGAACTATGATTGAATAAACAAAGGCAAGGAAAAATAGGCATCATTGGTACTAGGGAGAAATGCAATGCACTAAATCAAGAAGAATGAGCTTCAATACCCGAGCACCAGTAGCTACGACAAGAATCTTGTAACTTATAGTCTCCCCAGTTGCTGTTAACAGTGTTTTCCGCTTCACATCAACAGACTTAACTCGAGTTCCAAGAACAAGTTCAATGCCTGGATTCAGCATCCAAATTGTTATCTGTAAGCAACATCACTAATGCCTCAACTTGCTACACAACAAACGTGCATTGTTTTACATGCACAAACTTTTGACCTGAAGCAACCAACACTCCAGCAGAAAAAACAAAGTAATTCAAGACAAATCCTCAAGTGAACAAACACATGATCATTATGTGACACGTCACAAATGCAGAGTCAGCGTATGGTAAATTACTAATTGATGCAGATAAATGTTATCTATTAGGACAGCTAATTGTGACCACACACTAATATTGTCATCATTCCATGTATATTTTTTTTTTCTTTTACTTTTATTAGATGAGTATTATTAATGTATGCAGTTTCGTTGCTACAAACATCTCAATTTTATATGGCTGCCCCAACGATATAACTCCTATAGTAAAACAGCTTTGGGAAAAACATTTGCTTCTTAGACTATGCTCTCCATCTTCCAAGGCCTAAATATGTAACATGACTACATGAGTATCATAAGAGGGGAAGCTTAAGTTGTTGAATGTCGCTTAAATGAATTTACTCGTATATAAGGTAAATGATTTAAAGTCCTCCGAGCCATTAGATGTAAACAAACAAATTCAAATCAACTGGATCTCCTTCAAGCACTATCATCTTGTTATCTGCACTATCATCTTGTTGAATTATTATTGCATTATCAAGCTATCAAATGTTTCATGTCAGCATACATCCCAATTTTTAAAATTTTGATGTTCTACATTATACGATCAGCACAAAAAAAAAAAAAAAAAAAAAAAAAAAAAAAAAAAAAAAGTTCTCCGAGGTTCCTAGGTACCCTTAATAGCCAATCAAAATATCTCATCTGAAGCCTAATTCAAACAGACCTTACACTCCCTTACATTAATAACCAAACTAAAGTGACTTCCAACTTTCCTAGAATTAAGCATTCACTTGGCAGTTGATATGTGTAGAATATATAGGCTGTTTAAAGATCTAATCAATTTTCCTCTTGTGCCTGCAATCTAGTCAGAACTGCTGAGCTATGATCTTTAGAGCTAGATATATCATGAATTAACATACAGTAACAAAAGTCACGATTGCACTCCATACATTATTTTTTGTGTTATCTTAATTACTACCTCCGTTTCATATTTTTTGCAACTTTGGGGTATTATTTGTGAGATATAAAATATTCCAAAGTTGCAAAAAATATGAAACGGAGGTATATAAATTTATAACTAAATAACAATCGTGAAAGTCCACTAGCACTCCACATTAATAATTCACAAACCTATTACTGTTGGTTCTTTCTAGGTCCTACACTTGTTTAAAAAAAAATCAATTAAGAGTTATTAAGCAGTGTGCGAGCAAATTATAACTTCATTCCCTAATTAAATTTTCAAGCTTCTGTGAAAAAATGACAAAGCACATGTTCTGTTCATTCCCCCTAACACCCCACCCCCCCCCCCTACTGTTTTTCACCATATATGAACTTGTTAAAGTTATCAATAATAAAATATTCCAATTTCATCAATAAAAGATACAACTTTGAAGTAATTTATTTCATATATAATCAAGGTCGAATTGCCACAGTATGTGAGGGTAACATATTCCTCTAACTATGACAAATAACATTAAACTGATCATAACAGCACATACGCCAAATAACATAAAAGCTCAAGAAAATGTGAGGCTGAAAGTGTCAATACCATGTTCATTGTACCATTTTGTCGTTAGCCTTTCCTCATTCAAACCAACACATGTATGAAATGATGGAAGCCGTGCAGGAGCTGTAAGCATGAATTTTAGAAAAGCCAATGTCAAATATCATGGTAGCAAACAGAAATCATGAAAAGCTTCAGAGATTAGATAAAAGTAGAGGCTACAGAAAATATGCATCCTCCTAAAATCTACAAAGATGATTTAAAAATTTTGACAATAATGGTTTAGGCTGCATTTGCTTCATTGAGGAATCATGTACTATAATCCTATCAAGGAAAACAAAATTCTATCCTGATTCATGTGCCTAGTAAACATATGCTTAATCTGTTTCAAAAAATTATTCAAACAATTTGACTAGCATGCTTGCCAATGAAAATTTGTGACCATAAACATCTTTAAAAATCTATTGGTAATAAACATAAAAAAGTTTATATCATAAAAATATACAATGAAAATAAATCAGTAACATTTAACTTGATAGAATTTTCTTTAAGTGTTGCAATTCTTTTGAAACGGAGGAAGTACATTTCCTCAATGAAATCTTCTTTTTCTCTTTTATAGCATACAGCATAATTCTCTAATAATCTAGTTGAGCAAACATTTGAAGTAGCCAAAATCTGTATACTCCCTCATGTCATGTGAACAACATAGGATTAAGAGATGTAACAGTTAAATCAAAACAGTATTTTCAGACATATTTTTACAATTTTCAAATGCAAAGACAGAATTTGTCACCACTACTAGATCAACCTAGACATATGATTTAATTGGGAGCCCCATGCATGTAAGGTCTCACTCAGTAAGATGCATAACAAACTTTGAAGGACTGAGAAAATAAGACAGCATAGAGCCTTCTTAATATCGTCCAAACCAAATGCAAAACTCTGCTTACTTCTTTAAAAGTTTAGTAACGAAGATGAGATGATACAATAATAACTCATGTAACGTGAAAAACAGAAAGCCTACCTTCGGGAAGCAAAAATCCTTTGCTTAATGCAGGTCTTTCATATGGAGCAACCTGGAAAGAACAAATGAAGCTTCTTGATTTTGAACATCAAACAAAATCCAGATTTCTTGTTACCATGGATTAAATAAAAATAAAAAAATTAAATTAAATTAAAAAAAGAAAGAACAATGATAGAATATCAGTTAAAATACACTTTTGAGGATTTTGTTCTGTCCAAAAAGATACTATACCACTATCGACCAAAAACTTTGAAGGTTGCTGAAATGAACAGAAAAGGCAATAAAACCCATTGGTTGAATTTGGTAATCTTTTGTGCTGCACTTCTGAAGAGTTTGCGACAACATTTAACAAATTTAAATTTTGAGCTCAACTGCTAAAAAATAAGGTTTTACTTGGCCGCTATGGAAAACTTTAGAAAAACAAAAAAGGGCTTAATTTTCTCTATAAGTTTTTTTTATAATTCACCAATTTCCAAGCATTTTTAAGCACTGGAGGAGCTGTGTGATTAGGCATGGGTGGGAATCCACTGACAAAACCATGCTAAGTTTCCAGGAATTCAGACCTGGTCATGTCATACTTTGAGAACCAGGCAGAGGCAGTGGTGTCACGGTTAATTTCCAGTAGTAAGAGTCCATGAAGAATGATCACACTACATTTATTGGTTAAATATTAAAGATCAACAGCATGTATCTGAGAGTAAACTATTCCATCTGAAAGAGGAAATTAGAGTGTTATTGTGATTGCTCATTCTCTTGTCATATTCTCTTAATTAAGGTAGTAAATGACTCAATCAACTAGTAAAAGTCTTCAGGTTTGTGCTAATTGATTCCTTGATAATTTTTCCATCACAACAACATATATTGTTTTTCAATGGGTTATTGAGAGAAGCTGCAATAAAAAATGTCACCAAATATCTTTTTCTCAAGAATCAAGAGTAAGGTGATACTTGAATATGTATACTATTCGGCAGTAGAAGTGTTATGTTCTTTATCACCTTCGTACAAGATTTTTCATGAAACCATAGAGATGATAATCGAATTCAGACATATCTCAGCTCACCCTTAGTGATCATAGAGAACCCATTTGACCCTTCATAATAAAAGGCCTAAATATTCCATCTCTGGTTAGCAATTACACAAACTTGCTGGATTCCCCATCACAATATCCTCATCATTATTCATATTCATTGTTTCATCAACAATTTCAAACTTACCTACAAAAGTCAATGTCAGTTCTATCCAAAAACCAATCAGAAATTGGAGGAAATGCCATTATTTAACCCCTAAACTGACAGGAATTCAATCCAAATATAACTCTTATTCATCAAAATTCCAATATACATTCATTCACTCAACCCAAACAAACAAACTAACATCATAAAAACGCAATTAAAAATCCTAATCCAATAATTCACAAACATATCAAACAGTACAGTTCAAAGAAAAATTGTGCCCATAAATTCAATCAAGGTATTCACACCAGAAATCCTTTAATAAGAATTCAAACTAAAAAGGGTATCTTGCTTTCTTTGCAACAACAACAAAAATGATCAAATAATACAACAACAAAAAAAGTACCGATTCTTCAGAAATGATGCAGAGTTCACCAGGAGAAACCCCTTTTTTGGTGAATTCTAGAGCTGCATAACCAGCAGCAACTCCACCACCCAGTATAACGTATACAAACGCTCGGCCCATCTTAAATTTGAAATATCTCTCCTTCTATTTTTGGAAGAGCCACAATTTCATTTCTTGGTTGTGTTTTTGTTAGACGAACAGCAAATAGACATCATATATTCTCAATCCGTGCCGTGAATGGGAAGATAGAGACTCATCAGACTAACAAGTAATCGACCTCACACATTTTCTTGTAGCCCTTATCGTCAATTCGTGAGGTAAATTATTTGAGGAATTAGAAAGGGAGGAATGTTATGTATTTATTTGTTGGTACATGATAATTAGTAAATATTTTAAAAATTAATATTAGTACCACTGAAATTTGAAATGTATATTGTTATTATAATAGTATTGTAAATAGTTAAAATTACACCACCAAATATTGTTACAATGGTATACTTTTGAAACTAATATATATATCACTAGGTTGTGAAATTATTCTATTGGAGTGTAATGGTATAATATTAGTTGTAATGGTATTAAAATGACTATAGCGGTACAATTAAAACCTGAAAATTAAAGTGATAATATATGGTCCATCACCTTTTTGTTGTACTAAGTTACCATTATGTCCATGTTATGTACCAATAGGTACATAACTTTCCTCCCTTTAAAATGCCTCAAATTCTCTGTCTCTAATACGGTGTAGCTTAAGTTATTAATGGATTTAATAACACGAATTCTTATATGTGGCTGGGCCACACGGTGTGGCCAGCTATCATAGGGGTTACTCTGTTAGTTTAATAGAGGTTACTTGTCAGTGTTAAGAAAAAAAAACTTGTGTGGATCTGGTTCACAATAATATTATTGTGGACCTAAGACCATATGCACGCGCTACTAATGTTATATTGAATATATTGACCCTAATCTTAACATAGTAACCGTAAATTTAGAATAGTAGCATTTGTTAAAATTTGTGTGACCTTTAATATTATTGTTAAGGGTGAAACTAATGCGATTTAAATCGCACCAAACCGCAAATTAAACTGAATTATATGGTTCGATTTAGTTTGAGAAAAAACAATAGTGCGGTTTATGGTTTGGTTTCGGTTTTAGGATTTAAAAAACCAAATTCCTAACCGAAATATGTCACATATCCATATTACAGGTCTTTTAAGACTTTGTCACTGTTATTACTTCATTAGAAATTACAACTTGTTATTTCATTATTTGCTATTTGTCATTTGTTGGATTATATTTGGATAATCAAACCCAAAAAACAGGTTTTGAGTAATTAGGCCCATAAAAAGTTACAAATTAAAGCCCAAATCACTAGGCCTAAAAATTGCAGTGTGGTTTGATTTTTTTTTTTTTTTTTTTTTTTGAAAAACCGAATTTAAAACGGTGTGGTTTGGTTCGATTTCAATAGTTTTATAGTGCGGTGTGGTTCGAAAAATCCCAAAACCGAATTAATATGATTTGGTTTCGGTTTGGGCTACAAACCACACCGCAAACCGAACATTCACCCTAATTATTGTAAAATGGAAATACGATGTTATGTTAAATATAGTGATCCTAATTTTAACATAATGACCTTTATTATTAACATTAACCACTATATTAATAATTTTAGTTAAAAAAAATATTAACCTCTTATGACTTTTATAATTACTATATATATATATATGTGTGTGTGTGTCTGTGTGTGTGTGTGTGTGTGTGTGTGTGAAAACCAAGTCCTATAATAGGAACTAGGAACTCATCGTGACCGTTGATCGCTCTCAATCCAACGGCTCATGCTTCACCTGCCTTTTTCAATTTCATTAAGGGTATTTTTGTAATTTCGGCAATTGAATGACCTCCCTTGTTTTTCCAAGCACCGCTTCATTTTCTCTCTCTCTTCTTCCGCATTTTCTCTCTCTACCTTCGAATTCTTTCAAAGGCGATTTTTCGCGATCTGCACTCTTCGCTTGCGCTCATTGATTTGTCAAATTCTTCGATTTTGATCTTCAAATAGTTCATATTCTTCGATTTTTGTCATTCATTGAGGTAATTTTCTTGTGTTTCTGATTTTATTTTTATTTTCGTTGTTTATTGTTTATTTCATTACAATTTTCGCATTTAGGGTTTTTTTTTGTAATTTTTATCAATTAGTTTTGATTAGGGGATTTTTATCCACTAATCAGCATCTGACACATGGACCAGTCAGGTTCCGCCACGTGTCCTTCACGTAGGCCAATAGGAGTCTTCCATGTGTCAACCAGAGATACGTCCTCCATGGACCAATTGCGACGCGACACGTGTCCATCCATGCCAAATGGATAAATCAGCCAACAAGGCCCACTCTTTGGGGGAAGCCCAGTCAGCCTTAGGTTTAACCTAAACCTAGTAGTGACACGCATCCCAAGGCATATAAATATGCCCATTAATCCTCATTAAGGGGGATTACGCACATTTAACACTCTCACCTAGAGAGACTAAATCACATTTATTTCCGCATTAATTACTCCTTAATCAAGTACTAAATTGACCGTTGGAGGCGGATCTCCAATCATCCGGAGCATCCGTTTGTTTTGCAGGTACAGGCGTCCGGTTCCAGTCTCGGAATTGTAACTCTCCCGCAGGACATCAAAAAACCCCGAAACATTTTGGCGCTGTCTGTGGGGAGAGTACTTCTGATATGGCATCCACGTCTGTACCGACTCCTGAAGAGAGGCGTCCCCTGGACGACCCTCAAGTTCAGTCGGACCATGATACTGAAGAAGAGTTTGAAGTTGAAGCTCATACAGCTTCAAACGGGACCCTAAGGGCCCAGCGCACCCGTCATACCGAAAGGAGAGAACGGGAAGATCCTCAAACTGGACTCAGTGATCCAGTTGGCGCACCGCCTGTTCAGCAGCAGCCGACTGATGGGTCTGCTCCCATTACAAGGAACGAACTCATGACCTTCATGAGGGGCTTCAAGGGAGAGATTCAAGAGTTGCTCAACAAAAAGACGCCTGCTCTGGCCAAGGAGCAGTCGGCTAAGAAACCTTCCTCTTCAGGGAAGAGGAAGCCTGTTCAAGGGCGAGAGGCGACCCCTCATCCTAACTCTAGGAAGTGGGAGTCGCCTGCCCTTGATTTCACAAAATACCGCTTTCCTACTCCAGGAAAGAGGAAACCTGTTCGTCATATTCAGGCGGACGGGTCGAAGAAAACATACACAGACGCTCGGCTATTGCTAGAGCAAAAGAAGAATGACCGACTGTCAGAGTCGGCCTCTACTTCAGACTTCCAAGACAGTCTACGCAATACCTCTATGAGGTATACTCAGTCACATCATGAGAGTCAGTCAGGCGGTACCTCCCGTCAGTCCGGCTTTCATAGTGACCAGGCGGTACCAAACTTACTATTCGTACCGCAACAACAATATTTTTTGCAGCCACCTCTGTTTGGAGGACATGCGGCAAAGAATGTCCAACCTATGGACTGGCAGCTACGGTTGCTTAGACTTGGGGAACAGCCGTCGGCCTTCTCCAAGGAAATTACTGAAGCCGCTCAGCCGGCCAAAGTGAAAAATGTGTTAGTAGGCGCCTATGACAGCACTACTAACCCAGAAGACCATTTGATGGCATTCACCAACCTGATGTACCTTCAAGGGTTGGATGATCCCACTTGGTGCAAGTGTTTTCCAGCGACTCTCAAAGGAATCGCACAACAATGGTTCGGCAACCTGCCGACTGGTTGTGTGAATAACTTCAGGACGCTTGCTTACTTATTCACCTCCAACTTTGCCATGAACATACCTGCGAAGAATACGACCCTTGATTTAGGGACGATTCAGCAGGGTGAGAAGGAGGGGCTTCGTTCTTACATCAGGAGGTTTAACCTGATGAGAATACAGATCCAAGGGCTACCGGATGAGGTGGCCTATACTGACTTTTTCAGAGGCCTCAAAGACGGGTCGACCTTCAAGTTTGATTTGGTTCGAAAGAGGGTGGCGACTCTTTAAGAAGCCTTGATTGAAGCGGAAGCCTATATACAGGCGACTGATCTTTGTAGTACGGGAAAACAGTCGGACGGGAAAAGGTTCGATAAAAAAGAGGGACGACAGAAATAATCGTCCAACAAAGATGAGAAAAAGAGAAAAGAGGTCTGGGCGGCTGATTCCTCTAAACAGCCGGCCCAGAAAAAGAAGAAAGAATTCAAACCATACTCCCCAAAGTATGCGTTTAACAAGGATAGCCAAGCTATCCTAAAAGAAATCAAGAGACGGATCTCAATTGAGAAGCCGGCCCCCATGAAGGGTTCTGCGAGCAACCGGAACCAAGAAAAATTATGTGATTATCATGAAGATGTTGGTCATCAAACCAACGAATGCATCAGCCTCATGCGGTATCTGGACCGCCTGGCTGAACAAGGAGATCTTGACTCTTATGTCAAGAAATCGAAGGGGAACACTTCCTCGAAGAAGCAGTTGGCCAAAAAGAATCAACAGGCCGACAGCTCTGATACAGATGATGCAGTCGTCTACACCATTGCAGGCGGCTTCTCAAGAGGCGGCCCCACTATTAGGGGCAACAAAGACAATATCAGGCGGCTAGACGTCAATTCCGTTCACCAAGAACGACCCTCCAAATATTCATTTCCTGAAATTGTCATCACTGAAGAAGATCTAGGAGGGGTAAGGGGGCCGCATGACGACCCTATTGTTATTGAATGTAAAGTGGCCAACCAGACAGTTGGCCGAATCCTCATAGATACCGGCAGCTCCTCAGACCTCATCAGTAGCAAATGTCTGTCAAAGCTCAAATATCAGACTGATTGCATACATCTGGTATCCCACCCTCTAGTAGGGTTTGGAGGAGGAGTCGTCCACCCAGTGGGACGAGTGGATTTACCCATCCGTCTGGGTGAAAAAGGGGAAGGTCGACACATGGTGGTCCGGTTCTTGGTAGTTGAGGAACTCTCGGCCTACAACTTGATTCTGGGACGCCCAACCCTGAATAATTCCAAGGTTGTTATAATCCCGTCTCTTATGTTGCTCAAGTTTGAGAGGGATGATGGAACAGTCGGCTCCCTAAGGGGAGATCAGAAGATGGCCCGAGAGTGTTATCTCTCGGATATTAAGCCCACTGTCATGGCCGCTGGGTCAAGTGGTGGAAAAACAGACCTTGACAATGTCAAGGAGAGTGCGCCTGTTCAAGAAGCAGGCGGCAAGAAGAGAAAGGCTGCCCAGATGGGGGCCGCAAGAAAAGAGAAAAAATAGCAATCATTGGCAGAGGAGCAGACAGATG